CATACTCGTACATATTTTATTTAATAATGACTTGACACCTCTAAAATACGGCTGTCAGATCCGAAATTAAGGAGAGCCAGTACTATGGTAAATATACTCAGAGACTTATTTATTTTTATAACATACTGCCTCGGTGGTGCAGTGGTAACGTATGCAACTGTTGTGTTGCGGGTTCAATTCTCGAGTCGGACCAAATGTTTGTATCATCTGCAAATATTTGTTTCGGAGTTTGGGTGTTTATATGTATAATTTGTATTTATTTACACAAAAAAAACTTTAAAAGTATTCTATCGGTCAATCTAGCTTTCATAGTACAAGCTCTGCTTAGTTTGAAACTAGATGGCATTGTGTGTCACATGTATTAGCATTATTATAAATTACACCTGAACCCGAATTATCAATCGAACATATGACCCCTGGTTCAGGAGTCGGGATCAGTAACCGCTAGAACAACAGGTAAGTCGACTATTTCAAAAATTAAATTCTTTCATTGACATTATAAATGCGTAAGTTTGTGGCAATGGGTAATTATGTAGGTGGTGGATGGATGTATTTGATACGAAATCATGGTAGGACAGATTAGCCTAAATTGCACATAATAATATACTACCTCTTATGAAGAAGAAATTGATTAAAAAAAACCGCGGTTAACAGCTATAGTTAAATGATTATGTTATATATAGGGACGTTATGTAACTAAATGTAAATTTATTAAGTTTATTAATTTTAAGTACAAAATTTGTTTGTTTATATATATATATATATATATATATATATATATATATATATATATATATATATTTTCTTAAAACTTTTACTAGCAACCGAAATTACTAATATTCCTGTTAACCCCTCTAGCTAAACTAATTTGCTTCACGCACAGTGGTTTCACGTCGGTAGTGCACTAGTCGGGATTCGAACCCACAACCTCTTGATCGCAAGTCCAATGTCTTAACCACTAGGCTACCGCCGCATTTTAGGAAATGGGGTCAAATGAACAGATGGACAAACACCTGACGGTATGTAACTACTGCCGCCCGTGGACACCTGTAAAAATGGCAACATTATACTAGCATATAGCGTGCGCCATGGGAAAAATTAATGTACTCGAGCCTATAATACCCTTTTTTTTTTTTTTTTTTTTTAACGTGTGGAAATCCCCTCGGACCGTCACCCCTCCGGGGTTTGCGGCGGGGTGGTGTGTCGGACTCGGACCGACTAAAACCACACGGTGTGCCACTCTGCGCCTGTAACAGGAGGGATCCGGGAACAGCTGTTGTTAAGACATCCGGACCCCTCCTAGCGCCAGCCCGCTCCTGGTGCGGGCTCCGTCTCGATATATTTTTTCCTCTCTTTAGGCGACGTCCGGCACACGCGGACGCCGCCCCCTCGCGGCTGGCCAAACTAATGCGGGTGTTGGGGAAACCCACCCCGTCCACCCGCGGCCACACTCAGGGCGGCATGAGGCTGTGGTAGGCGGGCCTCCGCCGCCCGGTTCGCCGGCGGCGGATCGGGTCCGAGTGGAGGTCGTCCTCCCGGGCCCTCTCCGCCGCCTCCTTCCGCGAGATTACTACCTCGCAGAAGGTTGCGACCGCGGTAAAACAACTGTCGCTACCGGCCATGGAGCGTACTACGGCCGGTAGCGAGAGATCCACTCCGATGACTGCAGTGAGGGCCCGGCGCTGCGCCGCCCATGCGGGGCAGACCGCCAGCGTGTGCTGGGCCGAGTCCTCACTGCAGTCGCAATGGTGGCAGGCGGGACTCAGTTCCCTCCTAGCGACCGTGTGCAGGTACTTTCCGAAGCAACCGTGCCCGGAAAGCACCTGCGTCAGCCGGAAGGAAAGGGTCCCGTGCTGCCGCCCTGCCCACTCGGCGATGACCGGCTGGAGAGCCTCCACGGCGGCGGAGCCATCGTGGCTCGGCGAGCGGCTTCGCGCCACTCGCGCACATCCTCGGGCGGAGGGCGAAATCCGCTCTCCGCCCGGGAGTCAGCCACTCGCCGATAAACTTCGGCGAGCACTTCCGCCTCCAAATCCCACGGGGGAGTTCCGGCCAACGCGCATGCCACCTCCGTAGAAACGGTGCGGTAACCGCGTATGGCTCTGACCGCCATTACCCTCTGAGGGCGCCAGAGGCGTACCCTATTCTGGGCGGTCAGAGCCGCCGCCCACACCGGTGCACCGTACAGCGCCATTGACCGGACAACCCCCGTGTACAGCCGTCTTGTCGCGACGCTGGGTCCACCCATATTGGGCAAGAGTCGCCCTAGGGCAGACGCAGCGCCGACCAGCTTTGGAGCAAGCTGTCGGAAGTGCTCGTCGAAGAGCCACCTCCCGTCGAGGATCAGGCCCAGATATTTCATCTGGGCCCGAACCGGTACGAGGACCGAGTTGACCACGATTGAGGCGCCAGGGGGTGGACCACGACGGGGCCCATGAAATAACAGGGCCTCCGTCTTATCTAGGGCCACCCGTAAGCCCAGCGCCTCAATGCGCCCGACCACCAGGGAGACTCCCCCTGTGGCCAGGCGCGCCGCCTCTTGGAAGTTTGCCCCCCGGGCTGTCACCAGGGTATCGTCTGCGTAACAGATTACACCCAGCCCGGGGGGGAAATCGGCGCGAAGGGCCCAGTCGTACCCTATGTTCCACAAGAGGGGTCCAAGAACAGACCCCTGTGGAACACCGCACGACATGGGCCGACTCCTCAAATTACCTTCTCGGTCCTCGTACACGACGGTACGCTCCTCTAAATAGTCTGCCACCAGCCGCCTCAGGTACTTTGGCACCCCATGATAGTGGAGTGCTTCCCTGATGCAGCTGAATGGCAGACTATTGAATGCGTTGGCGATGTCTAATGACACCGCCAACAGCACGCCGCCACAGCTCACGGCCCCTTCGGTCACGGCCCTCAGGCGCAACACGGCGTCGACTGTCGAACGCCCCGCCCGAAAACCAAATTGGGCGTCCGACAGATCGGGGCCCACCTCGCAGAGGTGCCGGACGATGCGGGCAGAAAGAACCCTCTCAAACAATTTGCCCGCCTCGTCCAGCAGCACGATGGGCCTATAGGCCGCGACCGAATCGGCAGGCCGTCCCGGCTTCCTCAATAGGACCAGCTTCCCGCTCTTCCAGCACTCAGGGAAGCGTCCCGACGCCAAGCTAGCGTCGAACACCTCCCCGAGGCGGTCTGCCATGTGGTTGAGGGCCAGGGCCAGCACTCGGGCCGGTACCCCGTCTGGCCCAGGGGCGGTGTTCTTGGAACGGATCCGTAGAACAGCCGCCCCTACCTCCGATTCCCGGACGGGCGGAACATTATCCTCCCCGTGCTTCCCTTCGTCTCCGGCCAAGGAGGCCATCGCCGGGGGAGTGTGTTCCGCTCGTTGTGGGAAAAGGCCCTCAACCACTTCTCGCAGGAAGCTGGGCTGGAGAGTCTCCGTAAGGGGGGGGCCCGACGCGCGGAGCTTTTGTCGCACCGCGCGGTAAGGGCGACCCCAGGGGTCACGATTAAGACCCTCCAGCATCTCCTGTCTTTTTTCTTCTTTGGCGCGGCTAATGGCCAGCTTCAGAGTTTTCCGCGCCCGTCGGTACTCCTCATGAAGCCGGTCCTCCTCACCGTCTCCACGGTGACGCCGCCGACTGCGCGTGTAGGACCTCCGGGCACGTGTACAGGACGCACGGAGGTCCGCCAGCTCCTGGGAAGCCTATAATACCCTATTCCAACCAGTCTAGCCAGCATGGTATACTAGGCCAAAACCTCCTTTCTAAGGAGTCGGCTATGTCCAGAAGTGGACTACTAAAGTCTATTGATGTGATACGAGTATGATGTAAAATGTAAAGTACCATATGTATGCTACTTTCTACCGCAACAACCGACATACACGCGGGTGGAGCCACGGGAAAAAGCTAGTGATAATATAATTTTAATCAAAAGTTCTGTTTTCAACCCTTTAATGCACATGGGACACATTGGTACCGCAAAATCCCGTAATCTCCTCTGTATTCCTCTTCCGTAATCTTTTGGATGTATTCAAAGATTGCCGAGAAGATATTGCCAATGCTTTATCAGTAATAATGCCTTTTATATATTGAATTAATTATGTATGATACTTTTAATAATGATGTAAAAATTGTTTTATATCGATGTATAAAAATAAATATGATGATATAAGAATGTAATATACTATAATACATATTTAATTAAATATGATAAACAAATACACCCTGAGGCACTACTTTCATATTTTGTTTAGCGTTTACTTTGACTTGCTTGTGAATTTTCTACTTTAATAATCTACAATATAATGTTTTTATGTCCATACATTTTTAGAAAGATATTTAAGCAACCGTTTTGTTGTCTGTTATGTTTAATTTTAGTGGCGATTTTTTTTGTTTTATTGCCTAGTCGAGCATAGACAGTTTACACATCAGTTTTGTAAACTAAAGAAAAACATCAGTAATGCATATCATGGTTATCATCTTGGCCAAAGATATCTATTTTTTGTTAACATTAAAATAAAAAAATTATAACTTTAATGTAAAACTAAAATAAATATTTTAATAATATTTAAAATCATATCTAATTTATTCTATTCTAATTTATTTAAAATGTAATCTATAAATAGTATTTGGGACGTGGATGCCGTGTTTTTCCCAGTTTCTAAAAAAATATGTATTATAGCGGGGTAATAATTAAAATAGCAACTTAACGAGAAGGTACTTGTTTTGCGCTTTCGATACAACTTAATAAAAAATAATGGGCGGGTTATTTAAAGCTAGCTCGATGCACGACGAAGCTGCATCTTAAAACAAATTTGGAATAAGCGCTTTTCGAACACATATTTTATAGTAATTTACTACAGAATCTTTTTAATCTTTCAATAATTTATTTACATAAATACGTATTGTTTTAAAAATAAAATATTTCTAAGACTCAATTTTCTAAAATGTGTTTCTCTTGTTACAGGTGTACAGATAGCATATTTTGCAATAATAGGAACACAGATGTTCATGATTGTACTCAGTATATTCCTGTTTTATGGGATTTATAAAGTAAGTATTTAATATAATATCAAATGTTTAGTGGTATTTATGTTGATCTTTTTTCGAATTAAACCATGTTTAGAATTGAGCTCCTATTCTTTGCCCGAAGGCAGGGGCATATCATTGCAATAATCAATATAACTTGTATGTGAACACAAGCCTCCTTTCTAAGGAGAGGCCTATGTCCAGCAGTGGACTACTAAAGGCTGTTGATGATGATTATCAATGATGATGATGTGAACACAACTTAAGACTGAAATGCAAATAGTAGATGCCATTCCAGAGCACCATTAGCTCAGATTCTCATACTCATAGCCGTCTACATTACTGGATCAACATAATACACTCTACTTACTAGAGAATGGAAAGCAGTATCCTCGGTAAAACCGCCGCAGTGAATTATAATTTTTCCTAAAAGAAAAAATAACATGGTTATATAAATTATTTCAAACTAACTGAAAACGATTTAAAACAAAACAATAGTAGAAGCTTTTAAATAAAAAATAAATATGTGTAAACTCTGTGAAAGCTTCCCTCAGTTTTAGTTTTTCGTGTAGTTCGTACCTGTAGGTATAATCAAACCATTACGAACTTCACGACTCTTCGGTATTTGACGGCTAATAAAATAGCAATTTTAAGACACAAGCGATAGTGAAAAGGAGTATATAAATGTGTTTCTTCAGCGTTATTATCAACCACTTTTGTATTATAAAAATATATTTAATTAAACAAACTGTCAGCAGTATATCAGGGTTTTTTAATTAAGTTTTGCTTTACTAATGACTTTATCATTTTGAACTACAAGTTTGCAGTTTTAATGAGTTTGTTCGTCCAAAATGGATAAGCTTAAAAATATTTAGAATACTGTTTAAACTTGTTTATTATAAAAGTAAAGTATTGAATGAAAGTTAATTGATATGCTTGGGCATTGTGGTTTTGACACATTGTTTTCAAAGTAAATAAGTTGGAGTAATTAACAAAACTGTAATGCACTTTTATTTACACTTTGGGTCACTTCTTTACGCTCTGAGAAGGTTATGATGAATGGTTTAAACACATTAAAAACATGTGGCTGGTAAATATTAAGTACGTAGAATCAACTTTTATTACGAGTAATAATTTAGCATCAGGTGACCCGTCTCTTCGTTTACCTTTAATGCGTATACAAAAAAATATTTATAATAATATACTGCTAAGCTGAAGGTCGTGGGTTCGATTCCCACCCAGGATAAATATTTACGTGATGAGTACGATAGCTTGTTCTGTGTCTAGTGGTAATTTATCTGTAACATGTATGTATTTAGAAATATATAACGATTTTTACCATACCTGGTTACCATAGTTACAGGCTCTGCCTAGTTTGGGATCAGACAGCTCTGTGTAAGATGTGTAAGCTTTACCTATTAATATTTTTATTAATAAAGCTCACACATCTTACACAGACAAAGAAAAGTAAGACACAGAAACAGGTATTCTCTACATAAACTTCACAAAAAACGGTGTTAAAATAACAATAAATACAACAAGTATTTAATTAAAGTCTAAATTAGAAATTCATCGGTTTCTTGTCCTTCCTGATAAATAATATTGGATTGGAAATAATAAATGCCTATCGACGAAATGCAATAAGTTAACTTCGCTTATTAAGTAGAAAATAAATAAAAAAGATTTTTTACGCTCTGGGAAGGTTATGATGAATGGCTTTAAGGAGCCTTTCATTCAACACATTAAAAACATGTGGCTTCTGCAAACACAGACAGGGTCTATACAGACGAAACAAACGAAATAAGAAATAAGTCAATCGCGCTTATTTAGTAAAAAAAAAAGTTGTAAATTAAATGAAAAAAGTTTACACTTTGGGAATGTTACTAATAAATGGCTCCATGAGGTCATTTACTCAACATATTAAAACATCTGGCTTCTACGTACACTGACAGGGTCAATATCAATGCTTCGCGTTAACGAAGAACAGATAGTAATTAGTTAGTTAATAGACTACAATTAATATACTTTTATGCTAGACTAAACTAACTAAACTAAATAAATAAATAAAAATTAACGTATTTATAGTTAGCATTGAAGATTCAAATTTAAAAAAAAACATTTATACTGTTTTAATATGTTACTTATGTAACAAAAATACCTTAAGGTAATAAAAATATTTATATTGTTTTGAAACAATGGTTGTGTTTAGACAATATTTTCTTTATAATATTTTATGAATAATATTTTTTTGTTTAATATTACTAACTGTTGCTGAGCTATACAACCTGTATTTTAGATCATCGAAATATGAAAACCTATGACGATATAACCGACGATTATACCGAAACTTCAAAATCTCACACTCGTAAACATGTTGTTACGAATACAGTTAATCCAATTATAAAAACAATAAATTAACAATAGATTACATCGAGATTTAACTAAAATTCATATGTTTTGCTTCTAACAGGAGAACGTCGCGTTCTTGGTGCCGTGGGTCGTTGGCTGTATGACCTTCATGGCGCTCGAAGTCATGGCCATGGTGTACTCCAATATTCTTAGAGATCACGTTAACAAGGTAACCGCATTTTCTACGTTACATGTAATTGTGAAATATTAATTACCAGTCCATAATTATTATTATTAATTGCCATACACATTCGTCCAACGATAATTTCCGGGTTAAGGTACCACCTCAAGGAAAAAACCTGTTATTAAAAAATATGATTTACAATAGTGCTGGTAGAGTCAGAAAAAAGGTTTAGAATTAAATGTCTTACAATGAAATAGTTATAATGTAAAAACCCATTTGAAGACTGCTCATAAACGTTATATTTAGTTTATTTACACATTTCATTAACCGGGTACAAAAACTGTTCTGAGTTGAACTGCAGTGCAGGGTTAAACTTAATATTCCTAGATTATACGTAAGATCTGCCCAGTTCCTTGCTTCCTTTCGACTATTTGCTGGATACAATATATTACATTAGTTTCACTTGTGTTCTTCGAATATATAGAACTACATATAAGTACAGTAAGATATAAAAATATCTAAGAGTTATTAATTAAAGTTTTTTTAAATCCATATTTCGCTAACTTCATTTTTTTTTTGTTAACTATTTAAGTTGTTCGTGCATGTTTTGCCTTTATATTAGTGGCGAGATGTTTAGTCCTAAGATTTATGACTTTATATTTACATTGCATTGGTGACCTAATAAATAAATAAAAATAAATCAGTTACAAACTGGGCTTATGGGTTCTGATTATGGATAGGGCCAAGAAAGCTTTTTCGTGTTACCTAGAAAGCTCCTTTGGTAAACTTCATAACCGATTGCGTTAGCTAAAGAAATACTCGTACTTCTTTAATACGACTTTTGCGTTAAAAAGAATTGTACGTACAACCTGCACACCTAAGCGCAACCTAGCTACTAACATACATTCACACACAACAAAATTGCAACTTTTAAATATACCCTTATATTTTTTTATTTAATCGTGAACGCCTCAACGAACTCATTAATTACAAGCGCGTTGCCAGCCTTTGAGGAAGGAGTACACTCCTTAACAGCTCTTGTCTACGAGTTATAGCTTTCACAAAAAAATCGCTGTGTTAGTGGTAATTTGAGGATAATTAAAAAATATTGAGTTTTATCAATATAATTTAATAGGGAATTGTCAAGACAAATTTGCTTGAATGATCCAAATCATTTTTTTTGTTTGTTCAAATTTTAGGAAAGTAAAAAGTTCTGAACATTCTCAACAAGTCGAATAACTTAAAAGTCACTTTCAAAGGGTATTCATATCCAACCCTTTGAAAGTGAAAGTTGAAAGAAATGCAGCATCAAGTTACAATTTCTTCACAACCACCTGTACAATTTTTCCGCTAACCTTAGGGGTCTAACTGAAGAACAGGGCGAGCGTTTCCACTAGGACGAGCAACGCTGTTAAGGCTACAGGAATGCACATATGATGGCTGACTAGTGTTGGAGCATTAAGAACAGCTTTCTGACTTCAGATTAAGCCAGGAAGTCTAATGAAACAAAGTTTTTTTTAACTGAAGAACCAAATAAAATAGGAATGTCTTTAAATATATAGTGTTTCATTATAAAAAGACACATGGGTCATATATTTTTAACTAGAGCTGAAAGAGAAATTTAAGTCATAGAATTGAAATCGTCAGAATGTTGTTGTGCGGTGAAATATCTGATTGACTCAGAATATGATCTTGATAAATAAAAAGAAAAACAAACAAAACGTAAATAAAAATGCCAACATGAAATTAATTTCTCCTCTCAAAGCTCTACCCGCTAACAGTTATACTTGTTTAAGGTTTACAAGGTGAAAGGTACCGCCAGTTGATTAAACAGTGACAATTTGGGCCTATTAAGTTAATTACTTGATGTACTTACGCATCTATTACATCCAATATGGCGTTTGGAAAGTTTTAGCTCCGCCGACATAAATGTTCAGGATATGCAAACAGTAAAAAAGCTTTTGTGTAATTAGATTTTTACGACATTTTTACTATTTTGTGACTGTAACAAACTACAGAGAAGGCTCTTGTTTCGAATAATTTATTCACTTGATAACATGGAATCAACGTTTCTTGTGAAAAAAAGTTTTCATTTTTTTATTAAACATGAAATTTATTTACCGAAAGTGCTTTACACTTTCTAGATTTGTATTTTAATATAATTTGTGATAGGTTATGATAATTTGGTTTGTGATCAAGTTACCACACAATTTGGACTTTACACATCTTTTGCAATTAAACATATAGATGGAATATAGAATAATAAGCTGACTAAAGCATCATCTTTTAATTTATAATGGTTTTGTGAGAAATTACTTTCAATAATTAATTAATATTTGATCGTTGAATAACTACTTAACCCGAGAGAAAAAAAAAAACAAAATAAACGGAAGAGCCCGACGCCAAAGATCTGTAATTCATCATGAAGCAACATACTGAGAGAAAGATTAAGCATCTTTAAGAACTCACTTTTAGAGATAAAATCACTTTACCTACATTAAAATATAAATATTGAACAATTAACTTCATTATTTTTTACACCGTGTTGAAATTGGTGTTCAAATACGAATCTTCTAACTTTTTTGGAAGAGGGGGCAAACGAGCAGACAGGTCGCGCGTACGCGCGTATGGAGTACGCTCATATCTTATAGGTTTGAATGTCGTATCGTAAATACGGCAGACGATAACTTGTTCCAAAGATTGGTTGCGGAGTTGGAGGAACTTATAACCTAGAAAGTCTTAAAAAACAATCTCATTGTATTTTTACCACTTTCTGATTGCCCAAAATCGGTTTCCGAAATGTACGAACTCTCTATATACTAGTTTGTACACACACTTTTATATAATACAAAAGTGCAAAAACCTTAATATGAAAAACGAATACAATTAAGGCTATTCACGAACAAAACAGGTCACCATCATGAAATTTGAATACAGACAAACAAAGCCATTAGCTATCTCCAGTCGAACATTGTATGCAAACGAGGGAACAAAGGCTCTCAATGCAACAATTTGTAGATGCCGGTATACACCATTGTCTGCAACAAGGTTGAGAGGAGCATGTTGGCTATTAGCTATTTAAAATTATTGACTGTGACCGTGACTGATGAATTGCATAAATTTTATCGGAATATTAAGTGGATGGACTAAGGACATATTTCAAAAAGCAACGAAATGGAGTCACAAAGATATCTCCAAATCTCAGCAGCGAAGAATGCGAGCTTAGTTAACTAAATTGTGTTTAATAGATAATTAAATGGTTCTTGACTAAACGTAGTAAAATTTATTTGTCATCCTGTATTATCTTTATATAAAAGTCATGTAAGGAAACTAATCATAATTTAATACAAAAACCATCATATTTTTACAGCTTTAAAGTTTTCTCAAATTTCAGTACTTTGTGTTACCGTTACGTTCCTGTGGTTGTTTGACATGCTTCACATCAAGTTTCTTATACGATGACATATAATATTCTCTAAATTCTGTATGAGACTACTTTTTAGCTCTCAAAGTTTGAAAGTTTGTCCGGCTCGGTAGAAAAACCACCCCGACAGTCGGTCTTAGGCTCCTTACTCTGGGAAGGACCCGGACCATGTCATTTCAGGTCCCCCCCCCCCGAATCAACGCCGCACTTAGCCAGGCCCTATCCCGGGGAAAGAAGGCCCAATCAATGTGCCACAAGCATTTTCTCCTAGTCTACCTTTGGATGGTGGGGAAATGACTGAGTAGGTGCACTAGTACCATTTTTTAGTTAAAAACGTAGCCAAAAATTAAGTCCTAATTTCAAAGTTTGATCAAGATGATTATTCAATTTATCTTTTATTTCATTTGTAGATCCCAAATTAACAAAATAAACTATAGTTTCGTGTATAACGTACGTATTTCCTTTAAAACTCAGTATTGTATATGAGGCCTCTCAAGCCCCATGTCGGTACTAGTGTAAGTAAAAAATCCCCTCGGTAGCTAAAGGTTAAGCATTATTCCAGCTTGTTCTAAGCATGATCGGTTCGGTAAAACGATCGGGTTGCGTTCTAATCTATGTGCTAGTCTTACTATACCGGTAATGTCATCACATCAACAGCCTTTAACAGTCCACTGCTGGACATAAGCCTCCCCTTAGAAAGGAGGTTTTGGTCTACTATACCACGCTGGCCAGCCGGGTTGATATAGGGTTTGTATCAAGTTTTCCTTCTCTCTGCAGTGCTGTTGTTCTGCGTAGTTGTTTCCCTTAGTCGCCTTTTATGAAACCCATGGGATGAACAGGGGTGGTGACACTCTGTATTCTTAATCCGTCACCACACGGTGGTGTACTGGTAATGTACATCTCTTAAAAGTAGTCATTCGCGGTCTAACCTGGATCATTGGTCTCGGATGCATATACTCGTATATACATATACATATATGTATATGTATATTTATACACGGCATAATATGTTTTGTGTATCTTTGTTTAAACATGTTCATATTACATTCCATTTCGTAACGTTCACATACGCATTACATTACAACCCTGACGTACACACAAGACGTAACCGATCATATTTAATTGGTCACAGCTTGACAAATATTAACTTGGAGTTGTGTTTTAAGTTTGTTTATATAGAGACCTGTATGAGAAGACTTGTGTAAACAAGACGTCTCATCTTGTTTTGCAAAGGGACTGTATTCAGCTGTAAAAACTGATAAGTCAGTTAAGCTAAAGCACTATTGATAAGTAAATAAATATGCATGTTTTATATGAAAAACTTATATTATTATCAAAAAAAAATGATCATTATCTATATATATATAAGAGATTTCCACGTATATAGTCACTCATCACGATATCTCTGGAACCATTAGAGCTAAAGACTTGAAATTTGGTAGGAATATTCTTTTCACCGAGTAGAGGTCAGCTAAGAATGGATTTTAAGAAATTCAAAAAAAATAATTAAATAATGTAAATAGCAAAACAACGTTTGCAGGGTCAGCTAGTTTATATATAAAATAAATAATAATCATTATTACAACATTATTATAATGGTTTCACTACGCCATTCGTCCGTCTAGAAATGGCAGGCGAGGAGGGTCATAGAAGGTTAGGCGTTGACGTTCACTTGAATGCTGATTGGGGCACGCAAAAGATAGCAATTTTATGGCGATAGCGATTTTAATAGTGGGGTACCTGTTAGTAACATAGTTAACCTCATCTTGTTACCTTACCTTGTTACCATACCAGGGTATTACAAGTTTAAACTATTCTACTCGTAGTGCTTTAATTTTTTTATTGTGTGATTACCTTCACAAGAAGTTTCAGTGACAGTCAATTAAAAAAGAAACTGATCCTATTTAAAGAAAAAACGCACAAGGTCTGAATAACCGCAGCCAACAAGTGTTGACACAGTTTAGCTCAAAGTCGACTACGATCAATATTCAACTTACTAATTCCAAGTTATAACTATTTTAACTAGATCTCTAGCAAAATGTATGTTCCTAACTGTAACAGACACAAATTAAAAAACCTAAAGAAGTAAAACGCTAGTTTGATACAAGAATCTCGTTCTGTAAACAAATATGTTAAGAAGAGTTTTGTTTGTCAAAGAAGATATTATTTTCCTTATTGATGTGTAGAACGCTAAGAATTATTATAAATACCCAAAATTAAATAAAAAAAATTGGAATTCGAAAAATTGGAAGTCTGTTTTAATCTCTCATTGTTGAAATGGGGTGAAGTAAGAGCGATAAAATATAACAATTGTCTTAAACATATCCTAATGTAATTTTCGTTTTATTTTGTAATTGTTAACTTAAATGTTAATATTATCTGTTTACTGAAATCTTTAAACAAAAACTTACAAGAAAACAGCATGAAAATAGACAAGCAAGAACAGAAACGGATGGACAAAGTTGCAAGTTAGTTACGTTAATTATTTATAGCCAGAGAAAGAACTAAGTAAACAGCACCCCGGAAGTCTTGTTAGGAATGTACAGGTAGGAACATAGTTTTTTGTAACTGAATATTACAAAAGTTCGTATCCTCTTAACGCTCTTATCTAATAAACTTTATCTAAGAATTTCTTCAAGAAAATGAGATATTTCTCTGTTTTTCTCTTCCGCGATTACTCAAACATGGCTGGACTGATATGGAATATTCTGTTATGTTACACTTACAGATTACAGATCTACTAATAAGTTAATAAGTCTCCAAACAAGTTTGTTTCTTTAACTAAGTACATAATGAAACCATGTCTCCTAAAACATTTTTGCGCCATTGGTGGTTGGTATTGTGTTTAAGAGCAATAAAAGACAACATCGTTTACAATACACAATATTCACATGTATGTACAAGGCTAGCTCGAGATCATACCTCCGGACTAACACTATTATTATGTCTAATATATATCTACCTACATATGACAGTTTACTCAAATAGTGTAATGTGTGGCGACAAACAAAGGAGACCTCACTATATCGTTGTTTGCTTTGTAGAATTGGAGGAAAGCGATAATCGAGAATATCTATTAGTTCCCTTTCTCATATACAAATATATTTTATGTTTGTGTCTATTTCATTATAAGTAGACACAAACATACATCATTAGATTTTATGTAAAAAAATTCTAGTTAAAAAATAATTATGATAACTCGTATCAAATATAATTATTTTATGAGAATTCTTGATATTGCTTTACTAAAACTTTAATTTCTGAAAGTGCAATTCAGGACATGTTAGTTTTGTCAGTTTTTACATGCTTAAGACAATTTATCGTTTTTTTAGAAACCAATGTTTGGGTTATTTTTATTTTCGTAATTTTTAAAGATTTAATCTACCATGGCACCAAAATTGAAAATTGTAGGCAAAATCCTTTACAAATCTTGAATACAAGCAATGCATAAGATAACATACAAAAAAGAACAATATACTGGACAAAAAGTCACGAAAACAACGCTTCTACTGCACTTATAAAATCTTGCTCTATCTAATTAATATTTCTTTCTTTCTAAACTAAAAGACGCATATTTTCATTATCCTATGCTTATACTCGTATCATTCTTCAAAAAATTTAATAGTTAATGGTTATCCTTGATGATTAGTGATACTGATGACACGTGGCATCTTAATAACGTCTAGTAGAATCAGGTGTAACGTACTGGGCACCAGGGACTTCCTTTCTAGGGTATACCTGGTTCCCCGGCTATTAGTACCCGAGACGGCGTGCGGTTTTAGTCGGTTCGAGTCCGACATGCCTCCGATAGGTGGTATCCGAGGGGATTTCCGCACGGAAAAAAAAAAGAAGGTGTAACGTAGTGTAATGTCAATAATGTGTCGTTTAATTGGGCAGTAAGCATTAAAATATTCACTACGGCCCATAGATATTAACGCTATTTTTATTGTTTACATTGTTTCTTTCTTACAAACTCTATCTTTCGTGTTATGCTACAAGATAAATTATTTTACTAATAACTTGGCAAACAAAATTCAACCTTATATCTATCTATTTTTTATGAGTTTATATCAAAATTAAAAATACCAAGGACTCAAATATATTTTATGAATAAAATATTAGAAAAGAATTGATTACAAAAATCACAAAATACGTTCTCTTCAAGAGTTTACGTAAAAACACAATTTTTGTACTGGCAAGCTTTAAAACTTTTCCTAGGAAATAGAAAACTATCAGAAGTTCAACAAATAAAAAAAAAAACAATCAGAGACGATACAAAAGTTTTTGAAAATACATACGAAGATGTATTTCTATAAATTCGAAAAGCAATTTAACTTCAGCACAATTTACATATATTATACAAACTCTTTCGTGTAAGTCACCCACAGGTTACACCCGAGCCACCCAAACGAACTTTGACGGTTAAATAAAGGTTAAATTGAAATACATAGGATAAATAAGGATAATTATAATGGACTCATTGTATATATATGGTCAGTGACCGTCATGACCTGAGTGTTCGTATGAAAAAAAAAATTAGTTTCGTTTTTTAGTCTATCAAAAAAGAAAAAAGGTTCCGAGTGGTTTTGAACGGCAAACCGATTTCAATTAAAAAGATATAGAAAACTAAATACTTATATTATCATTACCAATAAAAATACGTATTTTTCAGGTAAGACGCCTTAATAAATAAACCTTATTAGAAATACCTAGTCACATAGACCATTTGATCCAAATGGAAGAAGCCTTTCCGAGATACAAGACACAAATTTGTATATTATATGCATACATTTCAAAATATGTTCGATTATAGTTCCTTAATGATATCACTCGTATTTTTTTAATTAGTCGTGCTATAAACGTTACGTTCTGTGATTATTTTTTTTATTCTATGATCATGACCTTAGTACTAAATATTTGTATCATTGTCTACCACTATCCTTTTTATAAACCAAGAAAGTTCAGAAGAAAATTCAGAGCATCAGATATGATATGTGTAAAAAATATTAATAAATTTAAGACTTGATTACAATCTACTAACAAACTCGTTAATAAGACACTAAAGAGAACAGATAATTTCCCCCGGTAATTCCTGTTTTGGACATTCCTTTGGTAATACATCAAATTACCCAAGACTGTTGGTTGTCACAATGATTTAAGTGATCTCCGAAACAGGCTTCTTGGTTTCGTAGCAGTTTCGAGACAAACTTTATGTTATTTTCCATGTCACTTATAAACCCCAGAATATGCTCTGACAGTGTCATAGTAATATGCTAAAGAGTGAGGTATTTTGTTAATAAGGATGAGGCTAAACAAACATTTTATAAGTGTGAAATTTTATATGCGCACTTCTGACTACGGGTGAGTGTTGAACCAGGGGACAGAGCCCGTCTTGAGTTAGACTGGTTAGTGAGTGTAGGGGGTGCAGATGATTGTAATAGCGATTCCCGCTTCCATAGGCTAGTAGCGCAACACTGCAATTAAATCGTTTTTAGTTCTTATGAATTTGATAGATCCCTTCGCCCCTATTTATTTCTGTGCGGAAGTCCCCTACGATACCACCGTGGTAGTTATATCGGACTCGAACCGACTAATAACCGCACGCCGTCTCGGGTTCAAATAGCCGGGGAACCAGGTGTACCCTAGAAAGGCAATCCCTGGTACCCTGACGGAATGCCTTCATCCCCTAAGGTGGAAGACTACGGAGTACCGATCTCCTTTGTATGCCGTGCTTCGTAGGTTATGCGACTTAATGAAATAGATAAAGTAAGAGGTTAAAAAATTGTTCAACTAATTTGTTAAAAAAAAATTGGGGATAGGATTAATGTCAAATACTATGAAGGGATGAAGCATAAATGGGCTCAACTAAATGAGGTTCCTACAGGCAAGTAAAAAAACGGTTAAAAGACCATGAAATAATCTAAACTGTCACAACAAAAAAAAAATGATATACAATAACAGCCGTAGAAAAATTATAAGCAGCATCAGAAGTCAAATTGTACCAAAGTTTTTGTGTTGAAAATAAGAATGTTTGTACTTATAAAAATATAGATAAAATTCTTTTCATTTTTCATTTAGGATGGTGATGATCTCTATATCATCTATCATGATGACTATATGTCACAGTTACAAGAAGGTACCACATTCTGAAAACTTTGTAGCGTTCATAGTCATAGTACATTGAATTAATTAATTGTAGCAAAAACAATTAACTTTTACCTAAAGACCATTGTCCACAGTTATATTACTGCCGACACTGGAACACAAATTAATTATCTTCATTATAATAACATTTAACTTACTTTAATCGTAATTTGTGTCACAATGGACTATTTGTAAATGTAAGTTTGTGAACAGTTATTTTTTTTTTACTATATTATATTTAATTGTAGATTTATATCTGTTAACATAAACACAACTGTTAAACATAATTGGCGTCGGGAAGTGACGACCCCACCGCCCACTAGTGACTTATAAATGAGCGACTGGTGCAATCAGTCTATGGGAGATCCTCCGTATATTCATAAAGTCCTTATCGGTGGGCACCGACGATACCCAAACACCCTCAGCTTCTACGGCGATGAGGCAAGGCACATGGGAAAGTGTCTCTAATTGCGTATGTCAAGATCCTTACAGTGACATATGGCCGATCTCCTGCAAACTCTACCAGCCTCCATCCGGTCCGCTAACGTCTGGAAGCTGAGGATCTGTAACTGCGCAACTACCTGGGTACTATAATATACTCACGCGCAAATGACTCCTGCATGTTCCATGGACTCTGAGCAATAGTCCTGTGACGATGGAGAGCTGATAGTTGGGGGAGGACTGGTGTTGTCCAAACCTTGGTTGGCATCTGCACGTAGGCGGTCTTCTGTGGATCGTACCGGTACCAGTACGTACACGTAATCGGCCCAGAAGACCGCCAACGTGTCGCCCAGGTCGCCCCGTGACCGAGACCGTGACACGTCGAGACGTGGGATCGTTTAGGGAGCGCTCTGCTTTCCGTAATCCGGGAAGGGTCCTAGAAAAGGTGGCCTAAACATAGTCTTTCTCTCGTTTAAAGGCGGGTAGCAAACCGCGGTAAGGTTTCTGTTTACCACCTTGATGCGGTCGAAAACAGAAACCATATTCTACAAAAATCTCACAATAGGAACATGGAACTTTCGAACTCTACTGGACAATGATTCCAACTATGCCCGGAAATAAAAACAGCCTTAATTGCGAGAGAACAGGCTAGATATAACAGTGATATTGCAGCAATAAGTGAAACTCATCTTAGCGACTCTGGAGAAATAAGAGAAAATTAAGACCACGTGGATGCATCCAAGATCGAAGCACTGGCATCTCTTGGACTACGTGATAGTACGCAGGAGAAACCTCGGAGAAATATTAGTTACCCGAGTGATGACAGGTGCCTAGGGCTTGACTAACCACCGACTTGTAGCATAACCTGAGGAAATATATCTAATGATGACGTTCCGCGACGTATCCGTCGATGGGAAACCCTACTGTAGATTTCTGATATGGGCGTGGATATGACTAGCGAGGAATGGTCCATTAGGCTACCGAGCAATGCGAGGCAACCCGCATTGAGATCATTGACTCTAAACGGCAGATTACAAAAACAAGATCTAAGCCCGTGTATAACTAAACCGTGTATAAATAACTCAGCTCGTCAACTGCATTGTGTGCCATGTGACAGGACCTATAAGACCAAATATATCTATTATATATAGCATTTTAATATGATCAATGCTCTAGATAGGAGACATGGAGGACTGATGAATGAGATAGTACGATAACTGATACGTAGAACCTACCTAAATATTATGTTTTAACTTTTACTACACTGTCTACATTATTACCATTTTTTTTTTACAAAAACTGTTTAACTTTAATATATTTTTTGCATATTTATAACTACGTCGTGACAACCTTGTTTGGCCTTGTGACATGCTCTATTACAGAATGTTATATACCTACGTCAAGAAATTAAAAATAAGTTTCATGTTATTACTCCTTAAAATTCGCTTTTGCTTACAGAGGATTCACTATAACGGCCTGTCTACATAAATTAGGCTATGTTGCCTTAAGTGAGTTTACCAAACTAATGGATAAAAAATTCAGTATCATTAAAAACATAGTATTCTAGCCTTTGAACGGTTGAAATTTGAAACTTGCCTATACTTATACATAATAATAATAAGTACTTTAGGTGATGGTTAATGTAAGAAGCCATGGAGTTGATTGATTAGGAAAGTATCTTCGCCTTAGTTTTCCTGCTTGAGGAATAAATGTTAAAATCTTCGAAAGGATTGTGAGTTTTAATGCCTACCAGTTACAGTTTATCCATTAGTTGTCGATTGTAGTTATTTCTTTAATGTATGGTATTTGCCATTTTATAAAATAGCAGTGACCGATCACCTAAAAGGCGATCCATATGTTTATTTACTGCAGGTCTCAACTTCAGTGTCCATTTACCGAACAGAATAAAAACTGTTCTGTTTTTAAGTTATTCTATTACTTAGTTTCTTTTTTACTTCTTAAAGGGGTTCGAACTAAGATATTGTTGATACTAAAGTTTTTTGTGAAAGTAAAATTATTAGAGATGGAGTTTATGTAGGCACTTATTTAACGTCTCACCAGCAGATAAATGAAGTTTTTGGTAGAATTAAAGATAGTTAGAGAGTGAGTATTCTTTGTACCAGTTGGCCAAAATTAATAAGACAAATAGTATTTTATATTTTCAATATAGAACACTGTCCTATGTGTGTCAAAGGATGCTATACATATTGACTAATCAGTTTTTATTTCTATTGTTGCAGCAATTCGATTCAATGTGCAAAGCTGAAATATCCTTCTTAATACCACGGATACTTTTGAATGTGAGTACACTTTGATATTCTTTCCCTTTGTGTAGATCTGCAAGACTTGAATGTATCTATCGGTACAAAAGTCATTCCATATTTAAATTATCACACTTGTCGATGAGGTATAGGCGATACAATGTATGCTTGAAATTAATATAAGATCCAAAAGAACGTTGATAGTTGAAGATAGATAGACGAAAGAAGATGTTGTGTATGTGATGAATGAATGTATGGTTTGCAGACATTCTAATTGCAATAACAGTCTATAACTTGCATTTAGTTCTAGTTACGTAATGTGGAAGTCCTTTTGTAAGATGCATAACATACGTGAACACAGCGCCATGACTCAAAATAAAGCAGTACGAGCTATTGTTGTTTGAATAAAAGTCTTCTTGGCAGAAAATTTTACGTTTTAAATGTTCAGCTTATTTTTGCTCTTTTTACTTGACGATGTTGACATTCACGGTAGCGGCACACAATCAACCTGATTTCGTATTTTTGGTTGAGTACTCACTTTTGTAACGTTGCAGGTACTGGGACAGTTAGGGTTCTATTGTTTTTATTCATTCTATTTCTTTTATTCTTCCATTTCATTTCACTATTATTTTACCTATTTTTAAATTTTCACCTAAGTAAAATTGGTGAGTGTTTTGTCATAAAACACGAGTCAAAGTATTGTAAAATCATCGATTGTAAAGAAAACTGAACACAACTGCACACGCAATGCTAACAGAAAGGATTTCTTATAGGGGGTGATCTGCTTGTAAGTAACTATCACCGACGATTAACACAAGTACGTTGCTATCCTGGCTGTCGTCTCAGACGGGTCACCCAATGGGAGATCATAAGTGTGTTGTCGTCCTTTTAGAACTTTCCCCATAATCAGAGAAGGATGGATTTGAGCAACCTCGCTCACTCGGTAAAAAGCATCGAACGAATTTCTTAACTCCGGTTTCCTGTGATGCCATGGTATCAGTCCGGTCAACCCTCCCCATTTGTGCCGTAATATAGAATATAATATAAAATAATAGTATGTTTCTTTCACAGTGTCTATGTATATGGTGCGTACTCCGACTATACCATCTCTACCGCGCCGGGGTCACATGGAAAGGCGCGGCCCCTATCGAGCTGTGACTACTGCAGCCCCTCCAATCCTCGGAGCCCCAGGTGCGTCAGCCCTGCGAGTCCACGCTCCTCTTAGGAGGGGTGGAAAGTGACACGGATGCCAGCCTTCATGAGCTCTAACAGACACCAGAGATATTTGATTTGGTGGAATAATCATTTTCAAGAAATCCATAACAATTTATTATATATACGTCTCCAATTAGTGTGGGTGTTCCAAGATATATAAAGCTGTAAATGTAACTTCACCACCGCTAATATACTTTAACATTGATATCCATCATAAGTGTTAAGACATGTTAGAAACTCGTCTTAGATTTTATAATTTTAAGTGATGGTCACTATAAACTATCAATTTTATATTTTATAACAACATGATACGATGATAACTGTGACTTTTTACTACAATTAGACATATGCAGGATCGTGCTTATGTTTTATATTATTTCAAATAAATGATATCAAATAAACGTAGACTCGTAAAATCTATAAAACAAGAATTTGAATTTAAAAAAAGAAAAAAAAAATAACACAACACTACATTATTAACACAACAAAATTAACACAAAATTAATAGTACCTTAAAGGTTTGAGTTTGGAAAAGTTTAGACACATTCTTCGACTGCACGGATTACATAGTGGTTTAAGCGGGCACCCCGCCGCTTACTACTACGCTGAGTGTTGTGGGCCCGATACACACATGGGACGACATTTTGTATGATCCACAAACTGTTGTTCTGGGTGTTCTTTGTGTCCATTTCGTGTATGTTTGTAAAGTCCCACGCGACATAGGATATTTTCCTAATGCGGGAGATGTCTTTTTAAAAGAAAAAAAAGAAATAAATAATAAACATCAAAAATTTCACACATTTGTTACAGAATATGAGAGTGGTATAATAGAAACCAAATCAAAAAGCCTTATCCTATATTTAACAATATTAATTAATTGAGAGTAAGTGAGACGATTTAAGGGAATTTATATCTTTTAAACCTCCATAGCATAAAGTGTCGATTTTCTGAACTGAAGGACACAGTCTTATTCATGCGTTACATATCAGATGGGTTTCAGGATTAAATAACTAAATTACTGTGCGATCGGTCCATGGATATCGAAAGGGTCTTATGATAGCGTATGATTTGTTGAATTTCACGAAAGGACAAGAGATAATAATATTAAGTAGTGGTCTTGATATCTAACTTTACAGTTATTAATGATTAAATCCATAGCTTAAGTTTTATCCAAATTAAAAGAAGCTTGAATTGTAACTGGCATATTGGATTAAAAAACTTAAGCCAAAATTCCTAGATTTTATTCGAATACGTTATTTAAAAGTTTTAGTCATCTCAGTTCTGATTTTTTCATTACCCATGTGGCTGATCGGATAATAAGGGCCCAAGATATGGCAGCGTAATCGAAATTACCACCAAATAACGAAAGTCACTTATAATTGTTTATATTTAAATTCCCGCTGGTGTCATAGTATGTCAAAGTCCGAAATAAAAACTAAAAAAGAATTGCCATTATTCATGTGCTCTAAATTTAAGTTGCAGTAACGTAACTATAGATAAAAACACCAGTTTTTACCGTACGATGTTCTTTAAAAAAAAAGTTTACATGCAACGTGTTGCAAAACATGCTGCAGATGATTGATGTATAGAAAGTAAATATGTATTTAATAATGACGTGCTTAACAGAAAATGAAGTGGACCTTTTCGTAAAACATTTCTCATTGCTTCATCTTTCGTTTGAAAAAAAAGCTTTTTGAGTAATTTCTGATTCTTTATACCTGTTTCGCGCCAGGGAATAGCAAACAATATGCTTTCTCTGGCCTTGGAAGCTTTGTTATTGACGTTGTCGATGACGCGAAATATGTTATTTATAAACGTTATCTTATAATAACTTTGACTGACTTCTTAATTTATCTCTGGTTATTTAGTAATTACATAGAGCAACATATGTCACCGGCGGACCAGAGGCGAGTAGCCGTAGCGTCTTTTCGCGACACAAAAGAGTCTGTCATTTTTTACGGTGGGGTATCTTTACCCCGTGCACATTCTCGGACTCCCATACAAGAACAATTGGTTGTTACTACAGAACTCACACACACATATACACATTCTGATACATTGACATCTTGTCAAACAACCGTGGCTGTAACAAGTACCGATACGCGGTATCGATAAATTCGAGAAGTCGGTTAGGGAAATCAGGTTTAAAAAGTGATACAAGGGTGGATATTTATATAGATAGGACTTTATTTATTACTAAAAAACTATTGGTATAATCAATGATTATATAACCAATAGTTTTATTTATCACTGGTTTTAAATTGGATTAATTTTGTATAAATATGTCGAATACATTTCTGTGAGTTAGCTTTTTTCATTAAGAATTGGCCATCCTTCTATTGTTTGCCAACACTTAAAAGTCAGAGGTCTTGAAATAATCTGAGCAAATGACACTGTTTCTTTTAGGTATTCCGGCAAGGTATAAGTTTTTTATAAGAGTTCCTCGATATAATCCTTAAACTCGGATCTTCACGAAACCTGCAATAAAAAACATCAATTTTATTGTTTGATTTTAATATTGAAGTATATTAAAGTAAAGCTCACAATCCCCATAATTGTATTAATTATATCAGAAAACATGATCTCAAAAATTATAATATGCACGAGAGACATGGATGTATTTGTTTTATCGATATCTAACTATTTCCATCGGTGATAGCGATTAGCAACACGATACTCGGATCGATCACTGGACCGATCCGAATAATGTATGAAAGCGAGCGGCGTGTATACAAATTCAATATAATACAAATGTTATTTACTACTGTGCAACACCCAGTTGTGGGCCTGATCCCCACACGGGATAACACTTTGTGTGATCCACAAATTGTTGTTCTGAGTCTGTGTTTTTTGTGTCCGTTTCTATGTAAGTTTGTAAAGTCCCCCGCGACACAGGATTTATTCCTATTGCGGGAGTTGTCTTTTTATAGAAATAAAAAAAAAAAGATTAAAAATTACTTACATATTACGGTAACCCCATTTTTTTGTAAACTTGACGTGAGAGATCTCTTTATAAAGCAAAAAACTAAAGGATTCGGTTTTTTTGTAGGGCAACCACTGTCGTCTACTCAACATCTCTACTAGATTTAGTCTAGTGAGCGGTCCGACCGTAACCAGTTTTATTGTACGCATATGACCGTCTGGACTTAGACTGTGGAGTGACGTGTGGAGTTAGGACTTATAGGGGAACGCCTGCGTATGGCTATGCCCTATGTTGCTCTATGAGTAATTATTAAAAGCTTTGTAAAGAAAAGAAAATAATATGTAAGATTAATAAACCGTCATTATAGTCACCAAAGAAGTTTAATATTTAAAGGATATCATTATTTATATTTCGTCCATAAAAGTTTTTTAGTAAAAAGATAATTTATTCTAATATAAAGTTTGATACTCAACACTTATCACTAAGTCACGTGCTAGATCAACGGCAATTCAAACACTGAGTGCTGCAAGAAATATATCTTTCATTTGTACATATTGTGACCCTAAATCTACCGCAGAAAAAAAAACAATATCCTAAGTCCTCAACTGGAATCCATATGAAAAATTGAAATTTTCCAATCTTTATTTAAAAAAAAACTCTCAACAAAAAAGGGATAATAGTTTATGTAAACTGAGAACTGGACTGATATACTTAGGGATATTATGCTACATGAATGTGTAATGTGTTGGAATCTCATTCAACGAGCACAGCATTTACTTGTACTAATCATATTCTAGTACTGTCCATAATCTATTTATTCGTAACAAAAAAAGGCGTGTGATTAGGAACTGATAATAAAAGTTGCACATTTAAATTTCACTCGTAAACAAACTAAAAACGTGTGCTAAGAGTAATTTAACTTTGTATTCGTGAAATATTCAAAAGGACAACTTTTCAAAAACATTGTACAAATCAATTCAATAAGCTTTTGTGTTCTGCGCATCTATGACGCATCTTTACATGGCATTATTTAATGAGAGTCTCTAATCCTCACGACTTATACCATATATCTAGCGTCCATTCTGATTTAATGGTCGTTTCTTTATCAATCAACCCCTTTGAATTTGAATTAATTCAATTCCTTTATTCAAGTATTTGATATAGCTACAGGACCCCATGTGAGGGGATTATAAAACTTTGTCATATTTTTGTATGGAGAACTATTTTTATGGCATAGGGGACATAGCAAGACTTAGTCGGTAAGCAGAAGGGTCACCAATGGAAAGTGTCATGTATTAGATGTAAACACTAACTTATTACTCAAGGTTTTATGTTTTTACAAACTACTTTTAGAAAAGTAAAAGAAAGTTATTTTCTTATAAGATTTCACAAATGTTTTATATAACATACAACGGGTAGTTACATTTGGAGTAAATTAATATAATCTATTAATGAAAAATACTGTTTGTTTCTTCTAAAGTTTTATTTATGAACAATTTATAGAAATATTCCACATGTTTCAACAAGGATTTCAGTCACTTTCATATGTATCGAGATATTTACCAGCTAAAATCCATTAATGAGGTGCTACGATTATAAAAATATTTTGTCTGTAAAGTACTAAATAAAAGCCGTATTGTCAATGGATAAGTTGTAAATTTTAAAAGTTTTTATGACAATACTTTAAACCATGTTGAAAAAGAGGCTCGTCAGCGAACACACAGTGTGAAGAGGTAATTGTTTGAACTCCTTTCAATTTAAATTTTTGCATTGTACTTATTATTAATTTCGTTTGAGTGTCAATGTACGAAAATACCTATTAAGTTTGCATTTATATCGTAAGTTACTTGTCAAACCACTTGTTATATTGATGAGACTATAACGTCCTACAAAAAAACATTGTATATAATAAATTTACTTAAAATTTATTATCATACATAGAATGGCTAAAGTATTGTATTAATATTTAAATATGAAATAACAGTTATACAAAAGTTTGTTTTCCAAACTAAATAATAGACATTAAAATTCCAAACATAATTTTGTAATACCTTTGTGGTATGAAACTTCTGTAACAGAAGTTTAAAGCCTATTGTTTGATCA